ATATGTATATTTATAAACACACAACACACACATCCACGTACATGTATATCAGAAGCCATATATTGGCACAACCACACTTGGAAACACACACATCCTCGTGAACTCACCGATCCAGGGAAGATGAAATTGAACGTCTTGCTGAGAGAGTCGTCGTTGCGATCGAGTTCAGGAACACTCTGAGGATATGCGGAAACATACGACGTTGTCAGAGAAGGCAAACAAATGGAGATAGCAACAAATGGAGATAGCACATAGAGGACAGTATAGTACAAACCGAGCTCAGTGAGGGACACAGACACATGTGTGCGTACATTTCCTGCATATGCAATTGTAGATTATGCCCACATGTCTTCGTTAATCGTAGGTATTGAACAGTCCACACCAACATACAAAGCAGCAACCGCCCACGTGGTGACCAGAGCGATAACATAAGGAAATCAGAATCGACGAAGGTGACGAGAGTAATTTGCTTTCTCACAGCAGGAACAAGCCCAACCTCGATTGTGTCGGGAGAAAGCGGCTATGTGTATGGTGTATGCAGAGATAATCTTGTATTTTATACATATAAACAGATTTATGGCTATGTGTACGGTGTATGCGCATATAATAATATATATTATACATATAAACAGACTTATGGCTATGTGTATGGTGTATGCTAAGATAATCATATATATTATACATATAAACAGACTTATGGTCGCGTGATACCTCTACGCATGGACCAGTTAGTTTGAACATACCTGCACCACGACGGTGTAGCCGTGGGGTTGTCCGGATTGTAGCCAATGGTAGTGCATCTGCCAGAGAGCGTTTGAATGGGGCATAACATATATGAGCGAGTGGGTGCAGTGGGATAGGGAGGAGAGCTTGAGATGCAAACGCTTTCCCTACAAATACACGTACTTTTAGGGGTTTAGGGTTTTATGAGTGATAAGAGACCACATGGCTGTGAGTATTCACATCCACAACTTGAAAGTGATGGAGACCAGATGGCTGGGAGAATCCACAGATGATTGGGACAGATTACGCAGTTGTTATGAGATCGCGGGTAACTTTGTTCGTAATGGTGATGCTTCACAGTGCATAGGGCGGCCACGATCACACACCCGGTCTGTTCGCCTACTGACCACATCGATCTATACTACACATGCACACAAGTAAAGGATAAATTTATACTACACATGCACACATAGCGTTTCTCTCAGAGGCAAACGAGAAAGGTCATGTACACGCACATCCGCCAATAAATTGACCTGCGGGTGTTTACCGTAGTTATCGCGCGTAAGATATATCAGCAGAGACGAGATCAGCCACACGATTACCAACGGCCCCCACAGACCGTGGTAGTGATTGTCTGGTTATAAATACTACTTGAATAGTGGTGGCAATTGTCTAGTATCAAATGTCACCTGTAAGACGTTAAAGTACCCGCTACTGCCGACATATCACTCACCTGCTGGTGTTTGTTGTAGTTGACGTGCAGAATATACATCAGCAGGAACGAGATCAGCCACATGAAAATAAACGGCACCCACAAATAGTTGCTATTGTTGGCCAGGTTGGAGATGGAATTCTCCGAGAAGTCTACAAGGCCCTGAGTCCCTTTCCGCCGGTAAATGGGAAGCAGCACACCACACGCTGCGTGTGCGCGAGGGGTTGGTGTGTATATGAGCGAAGTATTCCGTTGCGATGGAGAAGGTGCTTTTTGAGAGTAGGTTAGCGTGCACAAGTTCTGATTTGCGGATGTTCTTACAACGGGTGCCGAACGTACAACAGGGTGTGCAGGCGATCACGGACCATATGTGCGCATATAACGCAATAGTACTTGTGTGCTGGTGTCGCCTGCGTATCTGTAGCCAAACAACACCGGCCGTGGCGGTGTGAAGTCGTTGGCGTATATAGGAGAAACGTATTCGAACCCTAAACTCTGACCATAGGGCTTCCTTAATAAAAGACACTGCGTTGAACTTTGCCTCTCATACATTGGTGCCTGAACCGATTGCCACTATTCATATGCTTCTACTGTATTGTGTACGTATGCGCCTATTGACGTTGACAAACAGTGCGTATGCACAACAGTGCCCTCAGAAGCCCGCTCGAACGTGTCAATATTCAATACGAGTTCGAACATAATTCCTACGATACTATAGCACAACCCCTAAAACACACATATATATATATATATATACTTTTACATATATATAAA